TAAATACTCCTTTGCACCTCAAGTGCCTAAATCCAGTGGTCTATTTTAAATCAAGGACTGGAGAAAGTCAGTCAGAAATTCATCAATAATTTTTTTATCTCCTAGGCAAACTAACCTGCTTCAGAAGGGGAATCTCATAACAAAAGGGCTACTTGAATTGTTTATATGCCATTAGTTTTCTGGCAGTTACATTATCAGTAGCAATAGTATCTGACTCCTGCTAGCTCTTTGCTTTAGCTTAGGGCTTTAATTGAATTAAAGGGTATGAACATGGAAGAAGTTTCAAGGCTCCCCTGTGTGTAACTTCATGCTAAAATAGTGACCAATTAAAGGAATAAGGTCTTTTTTTCCTTGTTTCCAAATTCCCAGTTGCATTCACTTGGAAAAGATAAGGCAACTTAGTTATCCTCTGGATGCAAAAATTGCAGTCAATTTTGACGTACTAGCAAAGCAGGTCAAATCCTAGGGAAAAATGCATGAAGAGCTGAATCTTCCATAATTATATTGGGGATTTCTGAGGGAGAGAAAAGGACTCCTGTTTATCAAGGCAGCAATGCCTTAAATTCAGCTCTAGACAGACAAGCAATTAGAATGGCTTGTTCAGGATCACAGAATCAATTTCTGTCCCCTGAAACATATAAGGAAGATAAAAGAGGGCTCTCTATAAGAGGAGGTGGGATTATCAAAGCAGGGTACCTTATACATCATTACTCTAGTGGTGATAAAATTAAATGCTTTAATGTGAGCTTTTGCTAAAAGCTTTTGATTATACTTTATACAAAAATGTAGGGGTCTTTTTGCTGTGTATTTTTGTATGGTTTTTTTCTGTTTGTTTGTTTTTGTGTTGTTGTTTTTTGTTTTTTTTCCTGTTGAAAATAAAAGGTGGCACACTTAGAGGCATCTGAAACATTAAAGAGATGACCTCCTAATCATGTTGCCTGCTGCACCCCAATTCAATTCACAGAATTAAAGGAAGCCATCCTTGGAGAAGGGATTACATTCGTTGCGATCCATTCTAACAGACAGTGACCCAGTATATTTAAAGCATGCTTTAAAAAACAGTTTGAGAAAACAGGTCATAAAGTTCATGTTTGTGCTGTCATCAGGCCAACTGTTGTGCCTCAGCTGGGAGATACAGAGCTGTGACTTTAATCTGTGCAGGGTAGCCCTAATCATGGATATATTTAGACAGCCACATTATCAGCTGCGAGGGGGACCTGATTGCTGCTGGGAGCCCAGATCCTCGGCTGCACCAGTGCCCTGGCAGGTGTAGCTGCAACAAGCAGGCAGCAAAAATATCCTGAGGTGGCTGACTTCTCTCTGTCGTGTCAGCCATGGGGCTGTCCAGAGTGCTCCCCACAGCTGGGCCTCACTGGAGCACCGCAGTGATGCCTCTGTGTGTGCTCACACATGCCAGCAGCCCGATGCACCCCGTCCAAGTGAGGCACCACGCACAGTGTGCTTCATCCACTGCCGCACGTACAGCCCAAGGGATCAGAATGGAGGGGATCACATACAGCCCACAGCACCAGACACCACAGACTGCATGTTCTGGGCCCTCAGAGACAGAAATTTTGCTCTGCAGATTTTATTCTCTTGGGTCACAGCACACAGGCCCAGTAACTCTGTGGACAGAGCCATGGATTGTAATTCAGGGTGAGGAGACACACAACAGGCTAAAGGTGTGTTAGTCACCCAGTGGTTAAAGGCATTGTACAGGAACAAAAACACTCTCCTGGCCTGGTTTTTCCTCTGTACATGTCTGTGGATGATATTTGCATTATCTAAACCCTCTGTGGCTCTTTCAGAGAGGGTCAGGGGCCTTGGTTATCAGCCCAGTGTCTCCTCATCTCTGGAGGGGAGACAGAACTGAGGCCAAGCAGGAAGTGCATGGGAGTGCATGCATGAATCTGAAGGAAGTCTGACTTTTATTTTCTTTTATGTTTGGAAAAGGCTTTGCTTAGTGGGCACGAAAACAATTACCCATCTTTTATGAGCTCTGGGATGTGCAAATGACATACCTAAATAAATCTGAAATGCTTCACTCTCTGCAGTTATACATTGTCCTTGCTTTCTGTCCTGGCAGGTTAATAATTTTTTCATATCAGGGAACATACTTGGTTCTCTTGAAAGTAGTACCTGTGTGTATGAAATGAAAAGTAGCAAAGTCCTCTTAAGGAGTGGGACTATTTGTCTTAATAGAATTGTCCCAGTTTAACAGAAAAACTTCAAATTCTGATAACTGAAAACATTTTCAACCTTCTCTAGCATTTAACACTCACTTTGCATCTAAATTGCAAATGAACTGCTGAAGAAAGTGTTTGTTGAAGTGTGTTTTATGAATGCTGTAATCCATATGGTAATCTGCAGATTTTAAATTTTTTTTTTTTTTTTTTTTTTGATTTTGTAACAAAATATACCATTAACTATTCTGGGACCAATTCTTAAAAATGGATCTTAGCCCTTTTATTATTAGTAGAGGGGTTCAAATAATTCCAATCAGCATAGGGATGATATTCATTGCTGTTTGTGTTGCTTGATTTCCAAGGTAAAAACAGGTCATTCAGCCATCCTAGAAATAAAAGTAATTGCTTTTCAATAATTTATATGTCTAAGTACCTTTTAAGTGACCCTTCAGTATTCCAATAAATCTGATAGCTGTTAAACCCGTTCATCATGTGCAAAGGGTAACAAATATCCTCAATTCACAGGTCTTAGAGCTACCTGTTAAAGGACCACTAAGAAGATACACTTCTGAACAAGGATCTCTGGTCTCTGTCTCTCCACAACTCCTGATCTAACACTCTGCTATTGACAAGAAGGAACTCATTCCCAGAAGAAACACATCTATTTCCCAGAATCTGAATGTTTTTTCAGTTAAAACTGAGAAAGAAACCCCAAAACCAACAAAACAAAAACAAGCATGAAAGTCAGTCAATACGTTAGAAGCCACCAAGCGAAAGAAAACAAAATAGGCTTGGTAAATTTTAAAGGCAAGGTTCTTAAATCATTCAACACAGTGAAAAATGCTTCTACAGAATTTCATAGCAAAACTCCTCTGACACCAGAAGAGAGCATGTTGGATTTGGGATGTGTATGCACCAGTGAACAGCTGATATTTGTGCACACCAATATGTTTGCCTTATGCTTCCAGAAGAGGAAGGTATGTATAAATAGGCTGGCCAGCTTCCTTTCAAGGAGTTATGTGACTGATACATCATCAATGAAGAAGATGGTAGTGATAACTATAAAAATACTTGGAGAAATATTGCATGGCAGTTATAAAACAAAAATATGCCACTACTTTTATTTCATTCGCTTCAGAAATGAGTGCACGTAAAATTCTCTTACACCCTCCATTAAACAACTGTTTGGTCTCCAGTCTTTGGAGTTAATGAGCAACATTACTGCATTTTTATGTGACCATCCATAACTTTATTTACTACAGGTAACCTTTGATTTATCTGTCTTCACAAAGAAGAGTGTTGACCTTCATCAGGAGCAGTAAAACTGCTGTTGCCTTTGTTCTAAAACCGCTACTGATGAGATTGGCATTTCTGTGGTCTGTAACTGCTTTATGGCTGGAGTGGGGAATCTAAAGCAAGTTTCTGGTATTTACAAACACAGGGTCAAAAAGATTTGAGATTATTAGATCAATATTAAACTGAGATCCACAGTTATCTAATGCACTCCAACCCAACAAAAGGTGAAATTTTCACCTGTACCCAAAGAAAGTGTGATTCTTCATATCATCAAAACTTCCCAATGTATTGAACCGTCATCAGTGTTAGGCTTAGGGTTGTAACTACTGTTCTCTTCTCTTGAGCAACTGAAATTCATCCTTGTTGTACTTTTGTCCATTGGGTGAAATGTTGAGTATAAATTAACAAAGCAGTGAAGTATGGCTCAGTTCATCCTTCCAAGGCTGTTTTGTGTTGAAATCACTGCATTAGTCTAGCAATTTAAAACATGTACATGAAAAATTCAGCTTTAAATCACTATTTCTTACTGTAAATTCCTCTACCTTAAGAACAAAAAACATGACCAATCTTCAGGAAATGTCAGATATTACTAAGCCTTCTTTATAGAAACTAGTGAATTTATTTTTGTTGTAAAGTAGGAAATTGTGTAAATGATGGACAGGTAATTTTCTTTAGGACTGTAGCAACTGAAGGAGTTTTCTTGTGATCACTCCAGGACATCCCTAATAATTGTCTTTATACTTTGATATCAATATAGAAAATCCAGGGGTATGCACCTACATTTGGAGATAGCTTTGAACAGATCTGAGAATTTCACACAAGCGGGAAAATTGGGAAATTTTGTTGTTCTTGTTTTGTTTTGGGCTTTTTGGATCTTAGGTGAAACACTTCTGTTTCACCTGGTGACATCACCTGCTCTGGCATGGCTCTACTGATACCATGCTGCCTGGTAGATGAGACTGAAGCTCTGAGTTGGTGGGAAGAGATGACTCTGCAGGAAACATCCTACAGCTCCAGGGTAACAAAACTGAGTGGAAACAATAAAGACATGTCTACACGGGGGAAAGGAATGTGTGACACACATTCCCCATCTTGGCCTTGCACAAGTTGGTTTCGTGGTATGAAATAGCACCATTTTGGGGCATGAGCTGGCTGCAGTGGCACCAGATAGGGCTGAGACAGCTGGTGGGACTCCACCTGCTTCTGGTAGAGCACAGCCCTGTGCTCCTGTTCCATAGTGTAGATACACATGGCTCTAGGTCTTCCTTCTCCCCTGTTATCTCAAAAGAATTTCTATTTGTTCCCTCTCCACTGTCTGCTAGCTGAGTTGTGGGGCACAAAAACCCAAAGGGAGGAAAATGTGTCTGCAAAGACATTTTATGAAGTTCCTCAAGGGATGTGTTATGCAACTGCTATGTCTCTTATGTAATTTTTTATAAGCAGGCTTTCATAAAGCAGAGAATTTTAAAAAAATCATGTTTAAAAAAAAAACAAAACAGACCCAGAGAATCCTCTTAAATAATTTAAAAGTGAATTAAGATGTGAAAAAGAAAAGAAAAAGTTCCGAAACAGTAAGTTCGTCCTTTGCAAGCTTGGGATCATGTATTAATGCACTGCTAGTTGTGAAGAAAATGGCTTTCTATCTTTGCCTGTATGTTAGATCCTGCTGGAACACTCTGTTCCCTGCTCCCAGGAACACTTAATGCTGCTTGAAGCATGTGTACCCAGCACTACACTGAAGAATTGAGTGGCTCCTCCCACACAGCCAGGCACATCTCCTTGCTATTGTAAGAGGGGTATCAAGCAGCTTTTGTTCCTCTGTGTCTGAAAATGCATCAGAGACAAACATGAGGGGGAAAAATGGTCACTGAAGGTGCTATTAGAAGCAGAAAATGAAAAGACATAGATCAAAAGACTGGGATTTTTTGATTCACAGATGCTATGCATCTCTATTTTTTCCCTTTTTTTTAATTAAAAAACTGTGATTTTCTTGTTTTTCATCACATGCCTATTTAAGACATGTGGTTAATCTAAGTCAGAACTGATGGCCTAATTTAATAGAGGTGTATATTTGTGCTGTCAAGATTTTTGTTTCTATTTTAGTTAGTTGTTTCTGATTTCCTTTAAAAAAATGAAGGAAAAAAACTTTCTTTTTTTGGTGAAATAACTAGATTACTATCTCTACTTGTATTCAGGCTCCTCTCCCTGCTTTCCTAGTGTTATCAAGCATGCTTATAAAGGATCCTTGTCTAAATGATCAGATAACTCTTGTTTCCTCTAAAATAGTACCATTAAAAAACAAGAACTTTTTTTTGGTTGGTTGGTTGGGTTTTTGGGGGGGAGGGGTTCAGTTGTTTTTTCTGTTTGTTTGTTTGGTTGGTTTTTTGTTTGGAATAGGTAATTTATAGGAATTTATAGGAATAGGACCAAGCAAATTCCTCAGTTTACAGCACATGCCTAAGAAAGAAGCAAAATCAGTGGGAGCTCTGGCTTTCAAAGTCTTGGACTTTGGGGCCTAAAATCACAATGCTGTTCATTCGCAATTATGAGGATAATCTCATCATTGCCAGGGACATTACTCACATGACTGAATTCAGGAAAGTAAGTTATTGAGTGTTCAGGGTTCTTCATCCCATCTGGGGAAAGAATTCAAGTCACACGGGGAGCGGCCGAACAGCTGAATTTTCGGCATGCGACACGCACTAGAAACCTGCTAAAGGGATGAGTGACTACACTTTCACGTGGGCATGAGTGAAGTGTTCACATGTAAATGCAATTGAACAGCACTGTATATAAAGCCACACAATCAAGTAAGAACTGTGTAGCTGTGATTTTAATTTTTTCCCACCTGATAATATCCAGAAAATCTCTCAGTGCTCCAAGGAAGGTAATAACACAGAGTCTCTATGTGATGCTTCTTTTACCCTGCCAAATCTATCCTAGAGAACTAATTATATTAATTTTGTCCTGAGAATTTTGAGACTGATTAAAATGCCTGAGTTAATAGTGTTGCAAGGAGAAAAAAAGCTGTAACAGGAGCAGTGCCATGACTACAAATGACAGTGGTAAAGATAATAAGTTATGGCAAGTGTTGGCTAGAAAAAAATGAGGGGAAAAACATAAGTGCCTGTTCTTGCACCAAAGTATTTACTGCATTGATATGTAGGATTTAGATAGACTGACCATAATAAAAGGACAAAAAAAACCCAAACCAGTTAAAATGAAATAACTTGACCTCCAAAGCCAGACCTGCAAAAAAATGAAACTCCTGCAGAGACACTTGATTTACAAGCCAAAAACCCCACATGTCCAACTTTGGTGGAGAGATGTTGGGAGTGTAGTGAGGCAGGTGCTTATGTCTAGCTAAATATTGTAATCACTGTTTTACTGTTTTTTTCTGTTTTAGTAAGTGCATAGTAGGTAATATCCTTTGTAATCTCTGAAGATATGGCCTAAAATCTCCAGGGTTATCATTACAATGTCTCCATGTTTTGGTATTTTGATGCATTTTTGAGACAGGTACCTTTGGTGGTTTTGTTGCTATTACTTAATAACTGCTCTAAAGAAGCCACCAATTTAAAAGTGTGCTTGATTTCCAAATAATGAATCTTAATAAAGCTGCTTGGGAAATTTTCAGGACATCATTGGAAAAGAAATGAAAAAGATTTTTCTCAGATGTTTATTAAAAGATTTTAAAAATATGTCTAGATTTTTAACTACATTATAAATCAAAATACACAAGGTTCAAATACTAAGGAAAAAAATACTTGCAGGACCAACATATTGGTTTCTTAAAAATCTTTATGTATTTGAATGGAATTTGCACTTAAAATCTACAGACAGTAAGTTTTAATTCTTAAAGTCAGGAAATAAAGGTATCATAATAACTTCCTGGTTTTTCCTCTGCCTGACCATAGGGTTACTGAGAGCCTTGTGCTGACCAACACGGGCTGCTACGGCAGTCACCAGGCAGTGCAAGAGCCCATAATGCAGCCACTACAGACAAGGGTGTTGGAAACTATTTCAGATCTTCCTAAAATTACATGGCAGGCCAGAAAAAATAAAGTTCTAAGAAGCAGAGAACTATAAACCTCTTCATGATCCCCTCCCCTATCCCAGCTTTACTATAAAAAACTACAGGAAAAGTAAAAATTTGGAATTTGAGATGACATCATCTGATTGCAGAGCACAACAGCAAATGGTTGAATCATTCTTTTCACTTACAAGCTACTTTCACTTTAATATAAGTTAACAGCTTCTATTCAGGGTTGTAATGAATGACTGTTTATGTCATCTAGATTATTCTATCCTGTTTAATTCCTAAATTTATAAAAAAGAAAATCTGAATGGGTAATAATGATTATGTATAGCTATGTTGTGAAGAGTTCTCCCTACTGACAAGCTTTCAAATTATCTGTTTCTATTATTTTTTAAAATTTTTGTTTTTACTGGATCCAAACTATGATTGCTTTATTAAAAACAAGTGTTGCATGTGCTGCCACACTGCTACTATCCCACTCAGGAAAAAAAAAAAATCATCTTTATAAGCAAAACAGAATACTATGTTCTGAATTTGCTTTTTATCTCTTACATGTGCATGCTGTTGCATGTTTGCTGAAGTCAAAGGAATAGCATAGGAAAAGTCTTCTGTTGAATCTGTCCTGGCCAGATTCTGGTTTCTGTCCTGGCCAGACCTGAGGCTCATGCCACAATGAAATATCTTCTCAGTGAGCCTCCCCTTTGAAATCAAGCTTATCTCCCATAGTGCAAATCTTTTTCTGTATGGAGTAAGTGAAGCAAAGTTTGCTTTGTTTTGCTAAAGTTTTGCAAAAATTTCATTTTAGGCTATCATGAGATGGATTTCCTGGAATGAACATACCATAGTTATGGCCAATGCTGACAGCCTGCCCTAGCCCCTCTGAGTCTTTCCATCCCCTCTTGAGCTCCCTGCAGAGACAGAAATGTTTGTTAAACAGCTGCTGGACTATAGAATGGGACTCTGGCTTACAGGACTAGTCCCACTTGCTTAAACAGGACTCTACTTATGTGAGAAGTGGTTTGAAGAATTCATTGACTGATAGACCAATTTAGTAATGTGGACTGCAGGCATGTGGGTTTGCGTGTGAGCATGAGCATGTTGAAGAGAGAGGGAAATTCCCAGTGTGGTCACAAATCAGACTTTTGCCCTTTCTCTGACTCCTACCAGTCTATCTTATCCTTTCAGATGCGAGACTTCTCCATTTTGGAAGAATATGTGACTGACTTCTTCACCCCCACACTTTCAGGATGAAACACTCACTGCTCCAACGCAGCAGTTATGTGCAGTGTTGCAATGCTGAGAGACAGGCTTACATTCAGAGCTGAAAAGCCCTTACCCCCTCCTCATTGCAGAGTACTGCTTTGCCAGTGCCCTGGATCCATACCACATTTCTGAACCCAGCTCTGAGCCTGAGCTCAAGTCCAAACATTTCTAGTGACAATACAATAGGAGTGAGAGTCTGCTCTCAAGGCTCTAGGGAGAAAAAAACCTTAGGGCCAACATTCCCCTTGGAAGGCAGGTAAGGGCACTCACCTGTAATGAGAGGGGCTGGCTGCTGCTGTCTCTGGATACAACCAAACCATGGAGCCAAAGTTTTTCCAGGGAGGACTCCCATATCACCACTGTAGCTTGAGGAGTGTCTCCTTGAAAACTTTACACAACAAGGTGGGAGGCCTTGGGGTCCCCTGAGGAACAGCATGGCATGCAGAGCTGGCTACGGACTCTGGGTTACATCTGTCTCCTGGAACAGCATCTTAATGTCACTACAGCTGCCACTGCATATTCAAAGGCTGAAAAGGGCTAAAACATTGAAAAATGTTTTAAGCATCCCATGGAAAGCTTTCTTCTGCATAGAGAAAAAAACTAAAAGAGGCAATCTCTTCCTATACATTTTCAAATACTGGTTAAATGAAGAAAATAGTGTGGCATTTTAATAACATCAACCTGCACTAAAACTAAACTCTGCATAGAATGGATTGTTGCTGTATTTTATGTATTGCAACCAGTACTCTTCAGCTTACAGGTAAGAGAAAGCTTATGCCAATCTAAGGCATATATACTGCTTTTTGGAAACAAATACCAATTATTTCTCAACTGTTACTTCTTTATTAGGTCAATGTCAAACAATGCAAAAAAATTATCTAGAAATGAAACAGGAAGGGAAGAGACCTGCCACTTTTCTACACTGAAAGGCTTTAATAAGATACCACATAATAAGCCTGTATTGCTTTCACACTTTCTTGTATTTCTTTATGCTGTCAAGAATAAGTTCTCAAACAGGAAAAAATATCCATGCTGAATAGATAATGCATTTATTTTCATAAGCAAATATATACTAATTCAGACCCTAAGACTAGAGCAAATTTTTTAAAAATCAAGTAACTCTAATTCTTCACCTTTGAACTCTTGAATCTTTTCACTTACCATAGAGAACACTCAGCAGCTTCCTTCAGAAAAAGCTGTGAAAAGAGCATGTTGCAATAGTTGCAGGGTGTGTATGTGTGTGTGTGGCGCAGATAAAAGTGTATTTCTATTGCTTATTTCCATTATGACAGAACTCACAAAGTGCTAGGCTCTCTCCAAACCAATGTCAAGAAACACATCCTGCCAAAAGAACATGAAAGAAATGTTGTAAAGGTTGCATTGTATTCCTTAAAAGTTAGGAAATATTAGAAGCTGAGATGCCAGTATAACCTTAATTCAACCCTTCTGTGCATATCCATTATGATCCAGTCTTTAATTACATGATCACATACACTTTTTCTTTAGTTTTTCTCCCCAGGGCCTCCGCTTCATTTAAAGTATCAGATGGGCTGAATAAGTTCTCAGACATTTACATCTATCCTCTTCAGCAGCCTGCCATTTATGTATCAGCAAACATCTTGCACTATTAAGCAGGCAAACTGCCTCCTCTGTGTCTGGAGCTGCAGAGACAGGAGTAGACAGCTGGGAACTGGCCAGAGGAAAAAAAAAAAACCAAAAACCCAGTGTATCCCAAAATGTGGAAGTGCCACTGAAGTTCAGAGTGGCATGGTAGATCAGTGAAACATGCTGGCAACTGGCAGGAAGCTAAACCAGCAAAAGGCTATGGTATGGTTAGTTTGTTTGATGCTCTCCTTTACTGTCCAATCAAGAAAAGTTGACTTTGCTTAATGCTGTGAGCTGCATGCCAAAGTCTTCCTCATCAATTAAGAGCCTGCAGACTTTAAAGATGAGAATCTTTGGGAGAATTTCACAGGCTGGAAATGGCAGCAGCTCCTCTGCTGTCCTGTCATACCACTGAGATGGAAATGCACTTGTCTGGACTGGGAAAACAGCATCAGCAGCTCCAGTTACCTTGTTCACACCCACGGATAGGGATGAGATCCTCCTGGCAGGCATCTCAAGCCTTGGCCTTGAACTGCTTGGTGGCTGCAAGCAATGAACACCAAGGTAGTTCATTCCTCACCAGTGCACTGGATCTGTATGCACAGCATTTTACCCTTTCCACAGAGAAGACTATTTTATACATGCTGTTATTTGGAATCAATAGGAACTATGAAAACTTGATTGCTAAAGAGTCCTGAATTTATTGACTTTGCAAGAGATTTGAGAGAAACTCCTTAATGGTCCAGATTTTTTCTTTTAAAGAAAAAAAAATAAATAAAAAAGGATCTTTTAAATTTCTCCCCCTCTAACTGACCGTGACATGAAGTACATGTTGCCACACTATGTTCTTAAAAGCACAACTCAAGGGGGATGATTCAAATGTGAACAGCCTTGCTGTCTGTGGCAGTTATGGCTGGTGACATTAAACTTCATGTTTTGGGGTGCTACTGTATAAGGCCACTTACCTACTTGAGAGTTCCTAAAACACCTTCTGAGCATTTGATTCTGGATGGAATTAAGTAGAAGAGATGAGAAACTGACCCAGATAAAAAAGCTCAGGTCCGGGCAAAGGTGGCAAACATGACATTATTTTTTGTTTTTTGATGTATTTCCAGTAATTATTTTAGTGTAATTGCGATAATCAAACATCGCTTTTGCACAAGGTAAGCAACAGCTTCCAGTAGGATGGTGGACATTTCTGTGAAGGGGGAGAGAAGCATCTGCTGCTTCAAGGTTGGAAAGAGCACAGCACTTTCCAATCTATGAACAGAGCAGAAATGGCAGCCCTGGATACACCTCACATATGCCACAGAAGCACTGAGGAGAAAGGATGGCTGGCACCTGAGGAGCAGCAAGAGCACAGGCCGGGTTGGCAGCTCTTCCCTTCTCACAGAACGGAGGGTCAGCTCATGATTATTAATGTAATACTCAGAAGTTAGGAGGGGGGAAAATGGATGAGACTGTGCTCTAAAACCCACACCAACGTTTTTAGTATGCAGTAAAGCTGTGAGTTTGATCTCTTGGGATTATCTTTTGAAGGTGTTTTGCCGATTTCCCTTGTGTATAGACTCAAAGAGAGTCCCTTGAGGCTGGCAGCCTAAGATAGAATAGATCTCATGTGCAGAGAAGAGGCCAAAACCATTGTACATTTACATCTCTCACACCAGATAAGCAAAAAAATCCGCTTACTTTCATCTTGTATTCAAATATTTCACACACGGATTTTTATATATTTCACTAGTGAATTATTTTCATTGAAAAAGAAATGGTGTGTTGCATGTGCCTTTGTTGGACTGATTTCTGATCGTCGACTGTAAGAACCGTACATGCAAATATCAGGCTGTATTTCACTCGAAGCTTTGCAAGGGGGCAGGGCACAAACCCTTGAGAAAGAACAAGGTTTCTATCAAAGAAGCTACGCTCCCGTGTTTTTTAACAAAACCGAAACAAACTAACCGAACGGAAACCTTCTGCCGTTGCTTTCCTCTCCCCTTTTGTTTAGCAGAAAGGGAGACAGAGCACTGAAAGGCCTGAGATTGACACCGTTCTTGGCAGTCCCCAGCTGACACATCAGTCCCGCAGGTGTTTTGTGCCAGGCCAGCCAGGACACCAGCGCAGTGCGATGGGAGCGNNNNCCGGCGGGTGTGGGAGGCTGGAGCGGGCTGTAAACAAAAGGGGCTCGGGCGTCGCGCAGGCAGCTCCCCCCCCACACACACCCCCCACAGCCCTTGCCTCCGTAGACAAAGCTTTCGAGCAGCCCGGACTTGAGCTCCGCGCCAAGGACTCAAACCGCCCGCTTTCCATAAAGAAAAATACTCCGAAGTTGGGTTATTTTTTGTCAAGTAAAATTCATCGGTGGACGATGAGTCTTGGTTGCCCTTTCTTCTGGAAGCGTCTCTTAGCCGCCCCAGAGCCCCGGTTAGGAGCAATTACCGAGGGTTCTGTCATTGCCCTGTGGGTTTTGTTATCCCGAGCCCTCCCAGTGGGCTCGATAGTGGCTACAAGTACCCTCAGATAGATAGCGTTTTGGGTGGGATGGAACTCCTGAGGTAAGTCCTTGGTTTCTCGCCATGGAAAACAGGCTGGGAAGAACAGTGGCGAAATAGAGCTTGAGTCAGTCGGTAAACGCTGCCCAGTTTCCTCCCTAGTTATTTTTGGGTGTTCTTAGAATGTGAGAAACTAAGCACGGGTGTGATCTCAAAAGGATGCTGGAAAGGGTCGTTTTTCCTATCTCGTTTAGGATGTTTAGAAGCTCTTGAGTTTTTCTTTTTTTATTATTAATCTTTTCTGTATTTTTGTATTTGTTTTTCTGAATGCTAGGAAGTTGCTTTTCACTCCTTTCTGGTGGTGGATATTGCTGTCTATACAGTAGCACAAAACAGTAACTTTGTACGAGTGCTTCCCAAGGGACATTGCACTTACGTAAATCATTAAGAAATAAAACCTATAATGATTTTTTGAGTCATTTGATGCTGAAATAACAAGCTTTTTAAGATCTTGAGGTGTGAAATTTGCAAGAGACCAGTAATCGCTGCGTGCATCTTTTGACACGGAATTAAGGAGGATAATGTTTGTTTTTTATTTTATAGAACATTATAAACACCACTGGTTCCCAGAAAAGCCATGCAAGGGATCAGGTTACCGATGTATCCGGATCAACCATAAAATGGATCCTCTCATTGGACAGGCAGCCCAGCGGATTGGATTGAGCAGTCAGGAACTGTTTCAGCTTCTTCCGAGCGAACTCACTCTCTGGGTTGACCCGTACGAAGTGTCCTATCGCATTGGAGAGGATGGCTCGATCTGTGTGCTGTACGAAGCTGCACCAGCAGGAGGTAGCCAAAGTAACACCAACATGCAAATGGTAGACAGCAGAATAAGCTGTAAGGAGGAACTTCTCTTGGGCAGAACTAGCCCTTCCAAAAGCTACAATATGATGACTGTATCAGGTTAAGATATAGTCTGTGGATGGATCACCTTAAAATGGATGGATAAATTTGGTTTTTACTTTGGGTGGGCACCTCTGGGGATGGATTATGGAATTTAAACCATGTCACAGCTGTGAAGATCTGGCACACGTTAGAGTGGTATATTTTAAAGTGACAGTGCCATAGTTTGGACAGTACCTTTCAGTGATTTAATAGCCTGTGAGTCAAAATGATTGCAGCTTGCTAGGGAGTAAGAAGATCTAGGAAGTGTCAGTTTCTCCAAGACACCTGACTTAATTTCTACACCAATTTTCAACCCCGATCTGTATTTATAAAGTGATTCTCTGCAGTAGGTCTTGCAGAGTAAATTTGCACTATTACATTTATTAATTGTTAGCATTTTTGGCAGCTCAGTAACAAGACTTATGAACACCATAGTACTGGAAATTTTAATTTTCAGACTTTTACCTAGCACTTACAAATATGTATAAATGTACATAAGATAAAATAGTAAGAATGACCTGGGGAAATGGTCAGATCTTTACATTGGCCTCAAAAGTAGCAAGTGATCAGAATCTGCCGTGGCAACAGGCTTTAAAAAGACCATATAAAGACACTGTCTGAACTGTGGTGTTAGCACCAGCCAGCTATCTGTACATTTGCTAGCTTGTAGTTTTCTAAGACTGAGTAAACTTCTTATTTTTAGAAAGTGGAGGTCTGGTTTGTAATTTCCTTGTTCTTAATTGGGTAAAAGTCTTTTCCACAAACCACCATCTATTTTGTGAACTTTGTTAGTCATCTTTTATTTGGTAAATTATGAACTGGTGTAAATTTGTACAGTTCATGTATATTGATTGTGGCAAAGTTGTACAGATTTCTATATTTTGGATGAGAAATTTTTCTTCTCTCTATAATAAATTGTTTCCTATCTTGGCATTTTAATTAATCTCTTGTCGTGATTACATAGGATCAGTTAAATTATTTTTGTCTCACAGTAGAAACAAAATAGGTACTATAAAGGCTTAGTAACATCAATGGCACCCTGATGCTAGGGAACACTTGGTACAGACCTGGATTAATGAAGACCTCACATATAAATGCTTGGGAAGTTTAGGGGAACACGATGTGTCACTTTAGACCTTGTAAAATCAGTCAATGTGGAAATAACTCCAGGGCCAATAATTCCAGGATATGAGGAAAAGGTACAGAAATAACATCCACCAAAGATGACTTGAATAAATCCAGAGGATTAAAGTTTACTTGGCTTCCTGATGAAGGATATAGCAAACCTAAATGTCCATTTTGACCTACTTGCTCACGGGTTCACAGTTCTTACCTGATGGATTCCCTGCACAATAAGAGTTGGGACAAGTGTCCCTTAGCCTTAAGAGCAGCTTGCTGCCTTTTGCTTTCTTCAGATGCAAGACTTTCACTTTAGAAATCATTAAGATTGGATTCAACAAAAGGTATGTTGATCTTTTTTCCCAAACTTAAAAGGTTGGCTGAGGCAAAGTGAGAAGCCCATACTTATATGTGTATTCATAGTTAATGAATGATGCAGAGATGTGATTCACTTAAGCACCACACTAATGTCGTTTGTGTACAGCACGGGCAGATACACTTGAGAGAAATTCCTTACTGCTCTATTTACACTTGTTAAAGTGCTAGAGTAAAACTCAAGACTTTTCTGTTCCTTATCTCCTGTACTTCGTTCTGTGAGTGTTTAATAAAAGGCCTACCCACCTTGGTCACTTCAGTCACAAGAACTGCTGTGGGTGCTCTGAATGAAAAGAAACCCGTCATTCCTTGCCAGCCAAGCTTGCAAGCTATGGGAGAACGGAGCATCAGACTTGCCAGGAGTTGTTGCAGCTCCTGCTCAACTATGAATTAGCCTTTACAATTAGACAGTGGTAATGTGTTGTATCTCCAATTCGTGTCTGTGTAATATAGCTGATCTGTAATATAGCTGGTTATGTATAAGCAAAACATAAGACAGAACTGTCCAGCAGCTTTTTTTTTTTTTTTTTTTTTTTTTTACCGATTTCTTTCCCTCTGTTTTTTGAAAGTTCAGCTTTACAAATACAATTTTTACCATGATCTGCATATGCATGGCAATATTCAGCACCTCTAAGTATTGCTAGGGCTTCTCTGGCACTGTGGCTTTCTGGCATAGGCTGGTGGAAGCATAAGTGCTCCCGAAGCAGTGAACTTCAATGACCTTGCTTTGTAGGCATCTGACAAAAGATGTACTACCAAAGCTTCAGAGTGAGCCTGTGTTATAGTAAAGTACATGTGTAACTCACGCATACAGTCAAAGTTTAGGCTTATATTTTGACATCTTAAAAATTCTCTTAAGATGACACTTTAAATTGTTAAATCTGTAAGCAAGAAATTTATTCTAGTGGTAGGAGTACTCAAAGACGTTTCTGTTGTGTTATGTGTCCGCAGACAACAGAAGTGTATCTGACTAGAAAGAAAACACTGAGCTTGGCTTTAAAGCTATATTAAACTTTCATGAAGCTCACTGCTGACTGAACTATGCTTGGTATATTGTGGTGCTGCCTGCAGTCTTTTCTGCTGCACAGCAAGAACAGCATCAGAAGGGGTAGCTGTATAGTTGGTCTTTGACGTGAGCTGTGCACATTATGAAAGCATCAGCTGTCAGTACTTTCTTTTTGGTAAATTAAGCATAGCTTTGTGAGGCAGCAAGTGTTCCATCTGTGAGACAGGCATGTGATACTGAACCAAGAGTGAGCCTGCTCCTTTAGATGGTTAACATTTTAGTCCTTTTACGGTAAGGTGCTTTCATTCATGGCACAATTTTTAACTGCAGCTGTAACTAGTAATTGGTACAACCCATGTCCTTAGAGTTGCTGGGATTTATTCCAGCTGGAATTTAAATATACCCCAACGTGCACACAATGTGCTCTCGTCTGATTTTGAAAGTACTTAGCATACTGTGGCAGCAGGGCATAAGGACTCCTGAGAGAAGTGGACTATGTCTGCAAGAGTAGGCTGTTGCCAATCCTGTGTTTTGCTGCAGGTAGAACAAACAGCACACTAAGCTAAATGCTTGTCACTTTTGAATTTCATTTAAGGTGCCATTATGAAACCGGCAAGGCTGTTATTTTAATGCAAATGTTAGAGATGAGAACACATTCAAGACCTGCTTGCTCAGTGCACGTTAGTTAAATTAGTTGACTTTCCTTGAGGATCCTGTAGTTGTTCCGAGGGCAGTCTCAGCTGTACGCAGCTCTGATGTTACAGCTCTTCTAAGAGAGATGGACCAGTCTGCTCAGACTTGACCATTCTGTGAATGTCTTTTTTATAAGTGTACAATTGCTTTCTAATTTATGCCAGGTGAGCAAATGTTTGGTTTTTTTAAAAAATTTTTCTGGCAGCATGTTCCCCCACTGTGCTACTGTGTGGTATCAGATCCTACCACTCAATGCTACTTTTGTATTTTATGTTTGGTAATGATGCTCCTCCTATAAAGTGTTGTATTACACGTAACCTGTAAGATATTTGTTGTTCTGTTCTCTTTGCAGTTGTTTTTCTCCTGCTTGTTCTGGAGATGTACATCTGGCTTAAGCAGCCATTTGGACCAAAATTTTTTTTCTTCCTGTAGATCTTCCTGTCGTTCTTAGGTTTGAATAGAGACATGAGGATTCTCATTTGTTTGCTAATAACGCTGATTTTTTTCTCTTTTCTGCTGACTGCAAAGATTTTCAAGTAGATCTTTATATGACAGGCCTCTGCCACAGGATTTTGTTATTATTGGTTTGTTCTATCAATTTGCATGAGAATTTGGAAATAACATGAGGCACTTTTCTGATGTGAAAATACCATCACTGGCTTATACTTTTGTTGTATCTCATATTGGATCAGTTCATAGGATAAGAAAGTCTTTCTTATTTACCACAAAATGAGTTTTCTTGGGTCATATCAAGTTGTATGTCTCATGCCGTAGCTTAGGGATGACAGTTTTGAAGGCTAAATATTGTTAAGCCTGTATGTTTCTGACTTCAATTTAAATGGCTAAAGGAAAAGCTTGAGAGATGATTTAGTAGCAGGGGGAACTGTACTACAGCAGTAGAACCTTACAAAACAGTTTACTGATGTGCAAACCATAAAGAATCCAGTTAGTGCTCCTGGAGTGGTGGTTTGTGCTGATGCTTGTAAACATTTCTGTCACCAAATTAAGCAGATGTCATGGAACATGAACACTCAATACACATAAGGTGTCCTTCTAATTAACCTTGTTTGTTTATGCTGGGAGAATATGATCTCTTGTTGTTGTGCAGGCTAGCACTGAATACGACAAAGAACATTGCTGCTTTTCTTCTTTGTGTGTCTATGTAAAGCTTATTTCTGAATTTCCATAAATCAAGTAGTACTCTGCATTTTACAAAGTTTCCTCTACTTGATGCCATAATTTTAAGGGAAAATAGTTTATACTGGCAAAAGCTGCCACTTCACTGAAGAGCATTAAAGCTGTTTTTACTTTAAAGAGTGAAACATGTATGGACTGGAGATAAATAGTTCTCCTAAAAAGGGAATGTATATTTACACATTCTTGGTGTAATAGCAGAGGTTATTTTTACACGTTTCAGATTTACATTCCAATGTGAACACTGAGAAGCAGGATGTTAATTCAGTGGCTTTCAGGGGTTGGTAGAGCAAGCTGGGCTTAGACAATAAATGCTGTATTAATAGTTAGCAGTGACAATTTCATCAGCATAGGAATTGTGGGGTATAATTAACATCAGTTGCTTTGACACTATGCTTTTAATGTATGGTTTCAACCTTTCTTTCAGTAGCAGTTGGAGAATGCACTGTGACAAATTATTGCTGATACAAAGTAGGTCAACAGTAAAATGGCTGACTTACCATAAGTGAACAGATCTAAATTATTGTTAACTTCATGTCTAGAGGAATTTTCTTAGTGGCTAAGGCTGTGCTCTCGTGTTTCTCAAGCGTGAACCTTGTGTACAGCTTTTCCTAACTCCTTATTTCCTAACCGTTTGATATTTTTGTCTAAACAAGAAGGAGCATTTCCTCCCAGCTGCTGGGAAGAAATCCACGCAAGCACTAGTGCTGCATGCCTGACAGCAGATGTTTGCCCTCGTAGTATTGCAATTCTGTGACTGCAAAGCTGGCAAGGAGAATTGACTCGCAACTAAGGAAAACAAGTAAAATGCTGCATCTTCAAGTTTCGTGTTTTCTTTGCTGAAAGTGACTGGTGACAACGTATCATGAAGGGAAATAGGATGATACTGGATGAGAAAAATCCCAGGCTGAGAGAATGTTGCTTATGTTTTTTGCAGAGCAAAGTGATTCCTGTGATCAGCTGCACAGTGTCATCATGGCTTGCAAAAGTCTTCTAATGTTTTCTTGAGAGGCATAGCTTTTACCTTTTAGACATCAGGAAAGATAGATACCTATCGTATCTTTTAGATATCTAGCTTTCAGATTCTCTGGGGCACTGTAAAATCCAGTGTTATTGTTTTATGTGCTGATTATGTAACTGAATGAAATGATAAACGTTAGCATCGTAAGGATGCAAGGGAGGAGAACTTCAGTCTTCTTGGAGCAGCTTTGAATGTATGCAAAGAGCAGCAGTGTCTGGGATGTCCAATGACAGTGTCAGGGCTGGGGATGCTGCCCAGCATTCACAGTTGGGTTGCAGGCAGCAGCACTTACCTAAGGAGCTCTAACATGGAGCTTGGGTACATCTTCTAACTCACAGATCAGCTTAAAGACAGATTTCTAGTACCAATGATATCATCTGATGACATTGGCTGCAATTAAGAGTTTCCAACAGTGTGCCCTTGCTTTCCTATATTCTACGAAGTTCAATTATTGCTTTTTTTAATGTAAGAATATGTAATAATTGGTGGGTTTGGAGTTTTGCTGTGCACAAATTAATGAGTTTCTTGTATGTTAAAAGGAATATTGAAAGATAGTATTTCTTCTCTGCACTGAAGTTTAAACAAAGTTTTATTTGTATGTATATGGGGTACAAATATAGATTTCTTGTATAACATATATATATACACGCATTTAATTATTAGTCTATTTTTCAGTGGGTCATCCTGAATTCCCTGCTGGCTGTGATTTAATTCAAGTCACTGCAGGTATTCTGAAGATTGTAATTTTGCATAGGTGGGGGGCAATTATCCTCTATTCACTTTTTATGCCTTAAGACTCTGGTATTAAGAGGAGCATGTATTCTTATTTTTCTCTTGAATTTTTCAGTATGTGAATTTGAAGCTTGACTCAATTTACTACTCAGTTGAGTAGATTTTCCTGGGTTTTCTGTGTTCTAAAGTAAATTATAGTTGTCTAGAGGAATGTTTGCAACATTTTAATCAGTGTGATACCGGGCTGACAGGAAATAAAGCAAAGATACTTTTTTACTTTGTACATTCACACCAACAGTTTGTAACATAGGAGAGAGGTTTCTCTGGTGTCTGGTGAGCAGGTGGCTGGACAATCAACCAAAGGTCGTTTTGTTTGAGTCTAGCACGCTTCACTAGATGGGTGCAACAGAACAGTTGCTTCTGTATGGTAACATTCACTTTCTATAGTGTGTAAGTTAGGTATTTGTTTACAGGTGTGAGAAACTCCATAGCCTCACCACAAAATAAAATCAAGGTGCTTGTGTGGCACATCTAACGCTATAAAGTTATACTAGTGATGTTAACCAACTTTGCAGTTCCACCTCTAGATGTAGCCTTTGTTATAATAATTTCATTTTTAACTCCTATCTTCCCTCTTCCTTTGTCACTTGCAGCCTATTGTCTAACTCCCTCGCTTGCAGGCAGCATGAGGTCATTCTGTTTGTGGATCAAACTGTAGGGAAAAAAAAGGAGGCAGTGGAAATGGCAATATCAGCCTGAATCAAGATGACATTAAAGAAAATGATAAATTTAGTTTGATGTTTGTAAAGGACCCATGTCTGTGTGATGAAGGCACCAGACTTTAAATTTTGATGGTGTTTATCATTCTTTCTTTGTTGTCTGCATACATTTAACATAGGTGAGGCTTTTGTAATATAATTGAGGAAAAACGTATCACAGATATGTAAGTATTTTTTAGAAGGAACAGCTGAATAAATATGTCTGCTTGATTGTTTATCCAAATGTTCCTGTGACTATCTTCAAAGCTTATTGCTTACAGAATTGACAAGCCCTGCATCATGAACAGCAGAACCCTGGCTCTGAATACTGAAATGATAGTTTCTGCAATTATTCAGTAGAAAAATACGTGCATGTCACTCAAATTTGAAATCACTATTCATAGAGTTTACTGAAGTTGAAGTTAATTCCAAACCAACCTGATATGTGTACAAAATGTCACCTGAATTATTAAAGTGATGTAACCCCATGGTAAATTCTGCAGAACAGATATGTGATTTATTTTTCTTGCCCCTTTTGTTATACCCTTCTCTCTACAGGAACATCCCTTTGCAAGCATTTTACAAACAGTAAAATGAAGATTGGTGTTCCGATGTTCTAAAATATAGGACCTCAGCCTCTGCGCATTCCTAATTTTACTGGTATGAGTACCATGAAGCCTTTTAACTTATTCATGTGAATATGTCATATGCCCTTCAGTATTTTATGAGATCAAGAATGTGTCAAAAGCTTTCTTAGTGAAGCAGAAATGTACTTTTTATTATTTCCATAGGCCCTGAAAGGCACATTAAGGTCTTTATTATTGACTGAAAAGAAACTTCTTTATTACTGTAGAATAGAGATAGTGAATAGGCTGAAAAGAGAATGCTGCACACCTACTGCATCATGATCTCATTCTCAACATGATTGCCTCGGTGCTTGCCAGTTCCAATGTTCATGAGTCACACTCCAGTATGTGATTTGCTTAAAAGCAATAAATGTCAGCACTTTTATTTACGATCTGCCTTTGAAGATTTGGAAGTCATAACTTCAACACATTTTTTTTCTATGACCGTGAAGGCTAGGAACTGGCTTTACCTTTCTCTTTTAAATGAAAGATGAAAGCTTTGATTGATGTATTGCTCAGTCTGACCTAGCTGCAGTGGGTTAAGATGTGTAACTATCCAAACCCACTTCTTTCCTCCACTTTGGGAGAAATTACCGTTCTGGTAGGTGGGGTGGCAGAAATGGCTTTTCTGACTCTTGCTCAAAATTAGCTGAAGTTGTTAGGGTCGCTAGACTTGCGTCACGTCAGACTGAAATGCCTGAGCCACAGTGGGAGCCCAGTGCTGGGGAGCTGACAGCCTCCGGCAGGCAGCTGGGGGTGTTGGAAGCGGGATGAGCTCAGCACCTGGACGTGAGAGCCTCTCTTGTCACCTGCCTGCGAGAGCTGCCTGTGCTGAGCAAACGCTCCCGTGCTGGAATTTTGGGAAGGGGTCATGTGTGATCTGTGGGGGAGGGAGAGAAGTGGGAAAGGTGAAAGACCAGACATATTATCCATATGGTGAGTCAGTGGGAAAGAACTGAATGCAATTCCAGCCTAATTATGATTCATAGCTACACTGTTTATAGTTCTTGGGAGAGTGTCTGATCACATGGGCTGCAATGTACACGTTTACATGCTGTCCTTGAGGACAAATGAGGGAATTTACAAGGGGAAAAAAACCCCAACAAGCTTTCAGTTTTAGCTTACATCTTTCTTGTGTGCTTTTGAAAGTTTCCATTTATTCTAACTCTCGTCGCCCCAGGCTCCTGTGCTAATAAGCCTGGCAAATTTTGTTTCTGAACTAATAAGTGTGCTTGCTAGAAGCCTTACAAGCATTGTAGAGCACTTTTTAAGACACCTTCGGGAACGTGGGGTGCTGCTCTGCAGTGTTCGTGTTACCTGCTCACCAGGCAGCACAGCAGCCCTGCTTTGGGGAGCTGGCTTTGCACATTCACTACTCAGTGGACAAACCTATCCTTCATCCTCATGGTCCTTGAGTTTGCTATGTGTTTGACTGCCTCCAATGTTACCGTAGTCCAAGATAAATGGCAGTGCTGATTTGCTGGGATTAGGTTCTCAGGTGATGGTTCTCTCTGCAGGCTGCTTTCTGGACACAGCTGTGGGCAGTGTGGATCCTGCCCGTGTTGCAGGTGCATTCAGACAGCAGCCAGGGCAGCTGCAGTGATGTAGAAGGCAGTTATTCTGGTGGTGGTGGTGGGGTATAAGATAAACTACAAAAAGATCTTTTTGGCTAATGATTTCTAGAGAAAGAACCCTTTAAAGTGGAAGTTATTCAGAGGGAGGTAATTGTGGTTGGGTGGCTGTTCCTGTGGTGGCTCTGCACACCACCTTCCGTTTTCAGGAATGGTCACGTTACTTGAAATATTTAACAGTCCAGTCACAAGCTGCATGTATGTAGAGGTACACCCATGCAAGTATACAAGAACCTAAATTATTACTGTGAAAGAAGATACTGAAATGGCATAAAATGTGTGAGAAGTTTCTGCAAATACTATGATATGGTTAAGCAATTATTGTTGCAAAATATTTATGAAAAAAGTGGTGGGCACAACCAAGGGCAAGAAAGCCCCCTGAGTCTTTCTCCCTGGAAATGTGATGAGAATTCTTATACATAGATTTTTTTTATCTGATGTTCTTCCTTTTGGAGAAATGGTAGGGAGAGGAGGGAACAAGAGAAACTGGAGGGTGGAAAATCAAATAAAAGTCTAAAGGTAGGTTGTGTTAAATGTCATTGCAAAATACTTGAGCCATGAACCAATGCCCCTTTATGAACTACTTGTGACATAGGTGTTGTTTGAATTGACATAATTTGGTTGGTTTTCATCAGGAGTTGGAGAGAGTGATCCACAGGAGAAGAAAACAATTTCAGTGAGGCTTTTCACCTCTCTTAGTGCTCAGCATCCAGCTGAGAATGCCTCTCCCTGTCCTGCTGTCTACCTCTCTCAGGTAATTTCCATGCCTGAGTCTGAGACCTGTTCCCTAGACTCTTCCTGATGGTCAATGAAGAGAAGAAACACACCCATCATAGGAAAATCCTCAAATGGATTTCAGTGTCCCAGGCTAGAAGGGATGCACTCTTAGAGAGAGCACTGGTTCTCTTCACATGAAGTGGGCGAGAGCTTGCTCAAATATCACTGGCTGTATCTTGTTATGTGAGCCTCACCCTCTCCTGAATGGCCCCACACATAATGTACCTTAACTTGCAGTATACTGATTAAGATACCTGTTTTACTAACTCCTAGTGCCCCAAGTGAAGGGTAGATAACTGCTCACATGTTCACTTTGAAATGCACTGGAATTGCAGTACCTTAGAGGAAATAATTAGCAGCGTGTTTCCTGAATTTCGGGAACATGTTCCCGAGTAGTTGGAACGCTGGAAATTTATTTCTGAGAAGTTGCAGGGTTTGGCTCACACCATGGCATCCTCCTGTGCTCTGTGATTGTGGGCATGCGTTAATCACTAACCAAGTTAAGCTCACTGGACATTTTATGTGCAGCTTCCTCGAGAAAAGAGTACTCCAGTAGGACTTAAACACACTCCTGGCTGGTTTGTTGTTTTTTGTGTTTGGTTTTTGTTTTTTATTTTCTATAAGCTACACTGACTTTACATACAAAATACACCGGACCAGCTTGTTTTAATTCCAGCTGCCAGGCAGCAGTCCTGTGTTGTGTACAGGGAATTTAGCTGGGCTCCTGCTCATGGGTGGTGGCTGTTGGAGCTGTAGCCCTGTCAGATAAACTGAAGCCTCAGCTCAGTTGTGTGGGGTTGTGATGGGAGCAGCAGGCTGGTAACAAACAGTTTGCAGATTCGCAGGGTGGGACAAGGGTCTTTACTTTTATCAGGTGGCTTTGCAAGCCCAGAGGAGTAGAAAAGCATTGTGTGATAGTGGCTACCAAACTGCATGGGATGTATGCTCACTGCATCCTGGGAGGTGCCTGGTGGAGGGACTCTCTTGACGGTTTAATACAATTGTTTTCTTGAGTCAAACCCCTCTGGGTGATAGATGCTGCCTGTAGTACTCTGCAGTCTTGCAAAAACTGTGCCATTCCCAGTGCTACTGCTGCTTTCTTGGGGGATCTTAAGGACCTTAGATGTTGTAAAGATGCCTTACTACTTGTGTGTAATAGCTAGAGATCATACTTGTTCACCTTTTTTTTTCTAACCCACTGATAGAGGTATTGACAGTTAACCATAGTCAGAATAGCATATATTCTGGGTATTTTGTATTTTCCTTTCATAGGTCCAGATTATTGCTATCTTTGTCTTCTCACACATCCATTTGCACAAGAGGGGTGTGCTGTTGCCAAGCTTTGGGGCTCTAAAGTCCAGACAAGTGGGTAGGGAGCCAGTGCAACTCTAAGATCATCATTATGAAATATGAAATAAATTTTAGAAACAGCAGCGTCTGCCCTCTTCTCTTACTTTAGGAGATGTCTAGCACTCTCCAAAGTGTTTGTTTTTTGTGTTTTTTTTTCCTCCATGAAACTAGGGTGAGGTTCATGTTGAGTTGGCATGTGAAATAGGGCTTTCTCATGGCTTGGAGGATGCTTGGACATCACAAGGAAGAGTAGCCAGGGTAAGTAGAGGAGCAGAGAGCAGTAGAACTCTTACAAGTTCCCTGTTTTAGGTGGTGCACTGAGCTCCACCTTATCTTTCATTGAATGTGTTGTAAATAAAGCAGCCTCCTACTCCTGTTTGCCTGTCAGCTAAAGCTTCCAAGATGAGTGATGGTGAGAGGGGCCAGGCAGGGGCTCATCTTCACAGCAGCACATGAGCCCTTTAACTTTCATTTTTTCTCATTAGGTTTTCACTTGTGTTTCCTTTACAAGGTAGGAGGCAGTCTCTTTGTTTTTATCTTGTGCTCTGTGTTTTATTATATACAATGATATTTAAACATCCCCTGTCAGCTGAATATCACAGGTTTTGCATGATGATATGTTGATCTGGTCATGGAATTAATTTATCCCACCTGTAAAGTAATAGGCTTAGAAATAAATAATGGCAGCTCACTTTCTTTTGCCTAGTTTGATTTTTCAAAGGAAATTACTATTTAGTCTTGACTTTTCATCTATACCTGTGAAAACTAATGATTGTTTTAGTTAAATACACTAAAAACTTTCTTAGCTGACTAGTCATTCATATTGTGTAGATTTTTGTTCAGATTAGATAGGTTCAGCCAATATTTTGACATATATTTATATATTTGATAAATATTCAGATTACGAATATTTTACATAGATTACACAGATTATTGTTACCTTGGATTACAGAAAAAGATGTTGATTTGCTGAAAATTAATTTCCTCTTTGAATGTGGCAATATAAGACTGCATTGTGGTTTAATTCTTTTAGATTGTGTCTGCTCTTACTCTCAACAAAACACATTCTCAGGCTCTACTTGATTTCAGAGAGAGGAGGATTTGTCCCTCGGTGCTCTAACATACAGAGTTTTCATTTGTTTGGGTATTTTTTCCAGTCTTAATAGCTTTGTTAAGAACTGTGTAATGTATCATAGGACACAATAAATGGAGCAGAACTGCCTGTTCTCAGAAGGACTGTCAATGGAGACTCATCACTGAATGGAAATGCTTCCAG